TGAGAAATGGTCATTGCCCTTAAATCGGAGGCACATGGGAGCCGAGGCAGCAATGAGAGCTGTGCTCCCACCGAGCCCACCTGGCTGCACTGGTGCCACCTCAGTCTGGTGGGGAAACACCATGCCATGCGCCCCGTGCTGTCTCAGGCCCTGTCCTGCAGGCTCGACCTCCGACGAGAGCAGACGGCGTGCCGTCTCAGACCTCAGCGGTTGCACAGTGAGGAAGCAGCAGACGTTTCGCGAGTGCGCAGTTAACATTGCCTTCCTGGGCTCAGCCCATTTTGAAGTCAGCCCCAGGGATGCTGAGATGGAGCACGCAGCTCTGGGTTGGACACATGGCCTTTGGAGGGACGGACCTCCTTTGGGAGCAGAGTGCAGGTTTGCAGGTCCCGGGCTGCCCTCCAGCTCCGTTCCTTATAAGGCCACCAAATGTTTCGGCTTCTCCCGCGCTCCCTCCAGCCTTGCTGGCTGTGTGTTAGCAGGGCGGGAGCTGGCCGCTCCGAACCCTCCTGGCCTGCTCTGCGTCAGGTCGTGCCTTACAGACAGGCCATCGTGCTTGGTGTCAGCGGCGTGGCGATGGAGAGCCATTGGGTACGGGAAGGGGGCACAGACCTGCCGCATTCATGGTGACCTGTTGCTTGATTTCGAAAAAGCGCTTGGGGAAAGAGCAGAGAGAAAAGACATCCATGCGCATCGAGACACAGCGTGGTCCCGAGGGACGCCAGGCTGTTTCGGTCTCAATAGCCAGCTTTACCAATATCTGTTGCCTGTAAGAGGGTTGCACGAACCAGCCGTCAGCTGTGATTGACAGGCCTGTTATGTCTTAGCAAGAATCCCATCCCCCCGCCTCCCGTCTCCTCCCCTGCCCTGCCCTGCCCATCCTTTCCCTGGGGGGAATCATTGAAACCAGAATATAAAAATGTTTTGCAAATGTCTATGGGCACGGCTGCCATTTCAGGTTGAAAAGGCTGGGGAGCGCTGATTTGCACATGGGTTGTGGAGTCCAGTAGCAGCGTGCTTGGCTGCCTTCCACATGTAAACAGTCTCTTTTGTTCTGGAGAAGTGTTGGGGATTATATGATGTTGAGCGCACTCGGTCTCCTACTTCCGTATTGTGCCACAGACATGTAATCATCTGGTTCAAGGGGCTTAGTTAATTGTTGACAAAATAGAAACGTTGACGACTGTCTCCTGGTCGGGAAGCAAAGTTGCAAGTCGCCTGGTAGAAAGGGTGTCGTGTCTGGTCTTCCGCTTTGCAGGGATTGATGCCAAATGACATGGATTTGAGCGCCCCAGTCGCGGCATGTGAAAACGGGGCACTCTCCTCTTCCCCTGCCTTCCCTCCCTTGTGCCCAGGGTAGCACCCCTTCCCCCCCTTTGGACTTTTATTATTAAACCCTCTGAAAAATGAATTGAGGCTTGCAAGCATTGTTCGTAATTGTTGTGCAAATGTAATACTCCCTCCAAGCTGTTAAATAGGCCAGCGCTCTGTTTACATGGAGAGGCAGCCAGCTTTCCAAGTGTAATGAGTCAGCTAGATGAACAGAAGGGGTGCAGAATTAATCTGGCATCTGTCTGGCCTTTTCTCAGCTAAACAGGTTTTCGGAGCTCCACGTGAATAGGTACGTACCCCGGGTACAAGCAACCCAGGTGACGCCCTGGGCAGACAGATTTTTTCAGGAATAAATTGGCAAATCCGCGTGGCCTTCAAGACCGATATCTGGGAGACGCTTGAAAGGGAATCCTAAATTGGTCTGGGCTTTAATCCGCCTTCGTTCATGCTTGAGTTGCAGGGGAGAGTCTCCCCGGCCTGCTCCCCCAGCGCTGTACCAGGCCTCAGACGTCCTATGGCACGTCAGGCCGCTTCATGTGCCGTGTGTTTTTAATATCCCTTGTAGAGCGTAAATGAATTTCCATCCTCGGACGCCAAGTCCTTTAGAGTTCCCTTTCCTTAGATTTTCATGCTAGTGTCGAGATGCGTGTGCCTGAATGGGCTCGGGGGCTGGCCTCTCTCCTACAGTCAAAGCACTGCATCTTGGCACGTGGGTGATTCTCTGCTGCCACTAATTTTCCCAATGATTAAGGCTTATACTCTGCCCAGTCAGAGCAGCCTGGATGAGGCATCTCTCTTTGTCACCATATCAAGGCCTGACTGTCTTGACCCTGGGTTTCATGAAGCCCAACAACTGGTCTGTCTCCCTTGGGGAGAAATTAGTTTGCTGCAAGGTGCCCTGTTTAGTCGGTGTTTCGGCCTGGGGCTGGTGTCCTGTGTGGCCGGAGAAGAGAGGCATCCCCGTCCTGCACTGCTGCTCTGAAAGCCAGGCTCCAGGTTCTGTATTTTCCACGTACTGTCTGTTTGGTGGCACCGAGGTGTTGGATTCCCCCTTTCCCTGTGACACCAGTGCCAGCAATGACAGCTTTGGCTTTCGTGGCGTTTCCTGCGGCAGTGCAGGTGGCTCCTTCTTGCTTTCCTCCCTCAGGGAAGAAGCCCTCTCTGTGGTTGTGTCTACATGTGCATTTACACCGGCTTAAATTTACTGTGGAGCAAGATAGGCCAGCATCTACATGTGCAGGCCGTAAGGCACATTAACGCTGTGTGTGGACTGACTAAAGTTAGTCCCAAGTCAGTCCACGCACAAAGCATTTCTGCTCAGTCAGGCATCTACATGTGCATTACCGTGCAGTAACTAATCAGGTGTAAATTTGGTACCTGCATGATGCAGGAATCAAATTTACACCCAAGCTGGTGTAAGTTGCCATATTTACTGTGCAGTGTAGGCATGCACATGTAGACGCACGCCCGTGCTGCATGTGTAGACGTGCCCAGTGGGTATCTGGTACCCAGCATGACCCTCCCTAGGGCTGAACCACAGCTGCAGAGACCTCCGGGTCCTTCTTGCCCTTTTCCCTTCAGTAAACCCGGGTAGACGCTTCTCGCTGATCCGTGCGCAGCCTGGAGCTGGATCTGCAGAGAGAGCCCTGTCCTGCCAGGCGCCTGTTACGTGATGCCTCGCAGTGGGGTTTGGAACAGCTCCGTGGCTGGCTAATGTGGATCGCTGCAGGGCTTTCAGGGGACACAGAGAATTATTTTGTATTTAAAAACAAACCCAACAAAAAACCACCAAACCCAAGCCAACTCCACAGACCCGGTGGGAGAAGCTGGGGCGGTTGGTGATAGACCCCAGAGCTGTTTCCACGATGGCGGGGTTTCCACAGAGCTCTGCCCACTGCCGAATTGTCGGCCAAGGAGGCTCTGGTCCCCTGCCTGGCCACAGAGCAAGCAGAGCAGCAACTTCTGAACGTGATGGGCATTTCATCACCTGGTGTGAAATGAATTGGTGGGTTCCAGCTCTGGCCCCTCCGGGACCAAACACTTGAGGAGTTTGAACCATCTCCTGTTTCAGGTTTAAAAATGGTCCAAGCCTCTTGGAGTGTTGGAAAAAAAATAGTCAAGGAGGTTTTGGCTTCCCCCATCTCACTGCTGTTCTCTCCTCCTTCCCCACCCACAAAATTCCCAGACCCGTGATGGATTTCTGGAGTGACTCAATTCCTGGACAATTTCCTGCAATTGTAGCTCAAAAAAAATAAGAAGCAGCCACAATAAGAGTGAATGGGCGCAGGGTGATGTGCAGGGCTGTGGGTCACTGGGGAAAGGTTCTCCGACGGTGCTTGGAGGAAACCTTTTGCGTGGGCAGTGCCTGCAGGCCATTGGTCTGAAGGATCTGGCTGTGGGTCACCGGTGCTTTTTAGCCTCCGGAGATATTTCTGTTCACCTAAAGGCCCTGCCTGCCCTGGCTCCGGACCACATTTCTGATCTCCGTAACAACACATGCTGCTGTGTGTTTCAGATGTCAGTCGCCTTTTCAGCTCCGTAACCAGGCAACACATGGCATGGGCAACAGAGCTCTTTGTTAGGCTCCTTTAATTGTGCCTTACCTAGGCCACGGCACAATGGCCTTGCTGAGCCGGGGCACGGAGGCCTCTCCGTAAACCATTCAGGGAACACTGCTCCTTGTGTTCCTGCCCTCCCCAGAGGTCAGCACAAAAGACACCTTTTAGGAGGTGCTGGTTGTAGCCGTGTTGGTCTAAAGACACAGGCAGACCAGGTTCTTTGGGTAGATGCAACATCTTTTATTAGACCAACTAAATAGTTGGAAAAATTGTCCTTTGCAAACTTTGGAGCACAAATCCCCTTCTTCAGGCCTAGGGAGAGTTCTTTGGGCATAGGGAGACTCTCCCAATGCCTGAAGAAGGGTGTTTGTGCCCAAAGCAATTTTTCCAACTATTTAATTGGTCTAATAACAGATATTGCATCTACCCAAAGACACTTGTCTACATTTTAGGAGGAGGTTTTGTAGTTCCTTGCTTTAGACACTTGCTCCCCCGGGCCAGTCTTCAGGAGCGTGCATCCCAAATGGTAGCCAGGGGCCAGCTCTGCAAACCATAGCACGTAGAGTCTCTGCTGGGTCTGGCGGGCGCTGAGAGAAGCCCCGCAGGAGCATCCAGAGCAGCGCCATAAGCAGAGACCCAGGGCTCTCCCTGAGTGTCTGCGTGTTGTCCGTTGTGCATCATGTCTGACATTGAATGTTCTTCCCGTGCAAGCCCTGTGCATGGCCTGCAGCCGCCCTGTATTAGCCAGTGACTGCTTTGCCTTTGTGGTGGCCCCTGTTTTTTCACTCTGGCCTGGTATAGTGTTCTTGGTGGCTTGGGTTCATGTGGCAGCGAGGGTTGGAGTGGATGATGTCTAGGCATCGTGGGTGAATGCTTGCACGGGGCTGCAAAGGGCTGGCCTCTTCCAGTCCTGTGTTCTTGTTCGGTCCATTAAAGCCAGAACCGATGGCAGGGTCAGCCCAGCTCTGGGCTTGGACCACCGCTGCTCTGTGCCGGGGAGTCCAGCACAGCCGCGTGGCTGGCTCCGGTAGGTAGCGTCCTGACAGTTGTTTCCCCTCCTGACCAGCCCTTTGTAAAACGCTTGTTTTCTCTGCTTCTCTCTTTGAACAGACGGTTGACGACGAGGCGATGGCAGCATAAATGAAGATCAAGTAAGCACGGCAGAACGATGCCCAAGGGTGGGTGTTCTAAAACACCACAGTCAGAAGATTTCTCTCTCAGCAACGACATGGTGGAGAAACAAACGGGGAAAAAGGTAACTTGCCCCTTCTTTTTACCCTCGCAGCGCTGGGGCTCCGCATAGGCCAGGTGCCTGCTAGCAGCCGGTAGATCTGGAATGAGACACTATTTGCCCAGCAGCAAGCGAAGGGCTCTGCTTCCCGCACGCTCCACTTTGGCCCATAACCCTTGACATGTGCGGAGCAGTGCTGCAGGGGAGCGATGGGGACTTGAGACTGCGTGACGGGGAGGAGTGGGGGGTTACTAAGAGGAAAGTGAGTTTCAGTTCTTCCTGGGTCAGAGAAACCTCCATGGGAGACCCCCTCCCGCACAGCCGTGGGCAGTCTCGGAACGGCTTGTTTGATGTGTGTTGCCATGCAGGCAGCAGGCGCACAAGCCTGGAGGGCTGAGCTGCTTCGAGGAGTCGCTGATGAGGTGCTGGTATCTGAGCTGCTTGGCTGGAGATGTGGCTGCTCGGGGTTGAACGGAGGCTCCCATGCTGAGAGCTGAAGATAAAGTTATTGAAAGGAGGTGTCGGATAGAGGGCAGGCAAACTGAGCAGCTCCCTTCCGCCCGCAGCACTGCCTGCTCGTTTTGGCCCCCGGGCCACCAGACTTTCGGCAGCTCTGATCGGGTCTTGCTGGGTTACAGTCCAGTCCAGAGGCAGCTTCTGCTCTGGCCAGCACAGTAGGCACAAGTCCCTTCCTAAGTGAAACCTAAATGTATGGCAGCTTGTCCTGCTTTGTAGGCAGCTCTTCCCACTCGTTCCTTCCCCCATTTGATCCATTTTGCCTTAGCTCGTCCTGTCTTTGGAGCCCTTTGGACTTCCTCTTTCCAGGGCTGGAAATTGTAATCCAAGCATCACTGGCAATGAAGACACCACCCCCTCGTTCTCCTATCCACCTTTGCTCCTCCCTGTCCCCACTTCCTTCCGCCCCGGGTCCTTCCCCTGCCCTGGATTCCCCCGACAGGGTGCCAGTACGTTCCTCCCAGCTGTGCTCCCTCCCCGAGGAACTGCAGCACCGATGCTATTTCATCTCTCTAGACCACGCTCGTTAGCATAATGTCTGAGCCCTGCCAGGGCAGTGCTGTTTCCCACTGCACGGTGTAACGGGGGCCCCAGGGTGAGGCTGATGCGCTGCACCAAGAGCAGCATCCTTGCCTGGTCCCGGCTGCAGATGTTCTGCAGTCTTGCAGGACCGTGGAGTTGCTGCCTTCTGCCAGCTTCACTCCTGGCTCCGGATGCCTGGATGGCACTGGCAGCTGGGTTCTCTGGGTACCTTTTGTTGCCGGCACAGCCTGTCTCTGCCGGCCTCTCTATGCTCGACAACACACCCTGGGGCTTTGTGCATGTTGAGTGGTTGCAGGGACCAGACTGCTCACAAAGGCTGTAGGGACGGTGGCTTCCTCTCACCTGCAGGAGTAAGAGAAGCAAGACAGAACAGGGAGCTCATTAGGTCATCTTAGGTCAGAGTCAGAAATCAAAGGGGTTGGGGGCATTGGTCCTGCGCTCACGCACGTTTGAATCTGTTTTCAGGGGCAGGCTGAGAAGTGCATCGCTGCTCCCACGCGGAGCAGAGCACGTTGCTAGGACACAGCATGGTGCTTCTGGGAAGAGTGCAGGAGCTGGGAACAGCAGTGTTGAATACGGAGGAGCAGCTGCCAGGCGGAGTGGTAGGGTACCCAGCGAAGGCCAAGCATTCACCCTGGCTGCTCCCTTGCAAATGAGGTTGAAACCCGGCAGTGTTGATTGCACTAGAAATACAGCTGGGGTATTGTCAGTGCTGGGATCGAGCCGCTTGTGGCATGGGTGCCTCGAAGAGGGAAGGATGCAGTCGGTTGTCATCAGATTGGGTGTTATGTCTTGTGGTTTTGTGACAACACTGCTGGCCAAGTCTACACGAGATGCTTTACTGCACACTAGACTAATCTGGTGTCTTGGCCCCAGTTGTTTTTCTTGCCTAGTGCAGGGAGGGCTGGACCCGATGATCTTGCAAGGTCCCTTCCAGCCCCTACAATCTATGAATCTACTGCGGAGTAAAGCGTCACCGTCTACACATGCAAGCGCTTCCTGCGCAGTATATTGGTTTACTGTGCAGTCTGTGTATATGCAGGTAGTAAATTTACTGTGCAGTAGCGCCAAATATCATTGATTGCACCTGAAGATGTGCCCGCCATCTTTTAGTAACAGGTTAGACAAGGATGTGTAAAGGATGGTCTGGATAGGGGTTGGACTACATGACCTGTAAGACGTCCCTTCGAGCCCTGCGTTTCTATGATTCTGTGATCTTTATTTTTTTGCTCCTGCTCATGGGAGTTTAAAGAAAAAGCTGCATTTGGGTCACCCAGAGGATAGGGTTTGCTTGACGGCGGGTGGATATTAGGCGCAGAGCGCTGAGAGCTCCAGTTTGTTTTCTTCAGCTTAATAACTAGGGCATGAATCATTTTTTGCTGACCCACCACAAGTTCCCAGCGCCAACCTTAGAGGCTAGCGTTTCTTAGTGCAAACAGGGAATGTGTTCTCTCTGCTTGTTTAATCCCAGCCCTCTCCACCCGGGAAGGAGTTTCTAGACTCGTGGCCTCTAGGAACTGAGATGAGGTGCAGGGTAATCGGGCAAAGGAGAGCACATCGCCAAGCAGCCCTTTCTGGTTAACTGTAGGATGCTGGGAGCTAGAACAGTGGCTTCTGTGTCCGGAGGGGGTGATCTCTGCCTGGCGGGCAGGATGCAGCCTTTAATTCATCTTGCAGTTGTCAGTGCTTAGCCTGCAGCTCCTTCAGTGCTGTGCCCGCAGCAGGGTGGCTAAGGGGCATAGAGGTTTCTCCGCTGGGCTGTGCAACACTGGGTCTGCTCAGGCCAGGCCAAGTCTCACGGAGGGATGTGCTACGTGCTCATTCTAACAAAGCATTCACATGGCAAATGACTTCAGCACTGAACATGTTTTCTCCTTCGCGTGACCTTAACATGGGCGGTTGTTTTGACATTCAACTAACAGCTCTGAAACGGCTAGGTTTGGAGGCACATAGCTAGAGCGTATGGGGGATTCGGTTGCATATCTGGGAGCATTCATCCTGCAAGCTTGGGGCTCAGTGCTTGGAGGGAATCTGGACACCTCTCCTTCTCGTAGGGGGCTGTTGCTGGTGGAAGCAGGCTCCAGGCTCTTCCCTTTCGGCTGTGCATTAGTTGAGAAGTGGGTAGTGAGCTCCTACCAGTTTCTCAGCCCTCGGTGTCCTGCAGTGCCGAGGTTTTACTAGTTTCTTATTCCGGGGGCGGAGAACAGGCCTCTGTCTAGCAGGTGAGGGGCTTCAACAAAGGTGTCTCTTATTGCTTCTCAGCTATAAGGAGCATTTTTCTCTGAGGCTAGCCAGGAAGAGGAGCATAGTAAGGGAGCGTGGGTCTGATGTGAGCACTGCACATGCTATTCTGCAGAGGCGAAGGGGGAAACATTCATAGCCTCTTCAGAAGACTCAGGGATGAATCAGCCTCTGGAGAAGCTGCTTCAGGTTGAGTTCAGCCCTAAGAGCTTGTATAAAAGTATGCAAGCTGCATGCACGTGCGCCTCTGCAGAGCGCCGTTCTGGGAACAGGTCCTTATCCCTCCGCACCGGCAAACACGTCCACAGCTGAAAACATTGCCAAGTACCACTGCAGTCTGAATCGTAGCGTGTTTTAAGTGGATCCAGCCTCATTATAAACACTGTTAGAAATCACGAGAGAGAACTTTTTGGAGGGGGTAATGGCATGGTCCAGAGGGCTGGTGCATGCTCTGGGTGCAAGGGAAGGCCATGCTTGGCCCCAGCTTTCAACATGCCTGTGGCTAGTGCAGCTCTGCTATGTGGAGCAAACTGAACATGCGCTCCAGGAATTGCTGCGTATCACTCTCCACCTCCGCCTGGGCATGTGGACACGGGCACTGTTGCAGTGCCCGGCCACAGGTACCAGGCACCTGGTAGAGGGAGGTGCTAGCGTCTTACCAAACATGGGGGCAGGGGAGCTCAGCCCCTATTGAGGCAGGTCAGTCTGATTGGGAAAGGCCGTTCCAAGCCTGGCACCCAGTGCAAAGCATGCCCAGTGCGTGTTGTGCTCATCGATGCCATTACACTGTCTGCAAAGCAGCTTCGTCCTTTTATTTTTTACTCCATCTCTCTGTGCTTCAGAGGCTGACATGTAACCCACAGCAGTGCAGTGTGTCACCCTTTGTAGCCTGCAGTGGGCTGAGGGCTTAAGGTACTGAGCAAGTGAGCAGGCCCCCCAGTCTCTTTTCCATGGGCCATGGGGGCTGTGGCCACACTTGGGTTGTGGGGGTCCTGGGCACTCGCAGTAGCAGCGGGGACAGGCTTTGAAGGGTGTCGCTCAGCCATCAGCTGAGATGGAGGAAAGGTCCCTGTGACATACCCACAGGGGAAAGGCACAACAGTGCCGAAGAGATGAGCATCCGAGAAGCGTGAAGCTAACCAGGGTGACGCTTTCAGACTTAGAATTTCGATGCTTTACCTTCCAGGGGGTGAAATCCTGGTTGCTTTTCATGAGGCTCAGGGTCCTCAGTTCCCAAGACATGAAAGGCTCGGACTTTAGCTCCACACCGCCGATATGCTCTTGAAGGTTTTATCTGACCACCGGAGCTGCAACAGGCTGGCAAACGCTTGCCGCCTTGCTCTCCACCAGCATTTTGGTGCTGGGTTTTAGATTGGAGGGTGCTTTCTGCCAGAACGCTCTTGGGGTGACCTTGGACCAGCTGCCCTGTGTCTGCTGCTTGGTTCCCCATCTGTAATCCTTCCACTCTCCCACCCATTGTGCCCGCACCATTCAGACAGTTAGAGGTGGCCTCTGTCCTGAACAGCTCTTGGAAACCACGGGAACCCCAATTAGATGGGGTCCCCAGGCCCTGCCATAATCCCAGTTGCTCAACTCCCGTCATCAAGGAATCTGCCTTTGATTGTGCAGGAGCCGTGGTTCCATCGCGGGGTTTTCGGAAGGAAATTTCTCGGCCACTTGGCCATTTTGAGGATGCTCTGCTTTCCCAGGGCTTCATTTTGTTTTTGTTCCATTGCTGTGGATTTTTTCCTCGGTGTTGCAATGTGAAATGCTTTCAACCCAGTTTGCAGACCAAAGGGCTTTGGGGATTTCCATCACCTGGAAGTGCAAAGCTTTGCATAAGAGTTTGGAATGTGGGTCGGTTTTGTCAACAGTCAAGTGAAATTATGTTCTTTGTGGAGCCAGAGCAGAGGTCTCAGCAGTTCAACGTGGGCTCGTGCCCAGGTCCACGGCCTGCTCCTAAGTGGCGGTGCTGGGGAGGAGGGAGCAGGGGGCTGCCTGTTCGACGGTACGGCGCAGGCCAAGAGTTTGCCGACTCCTCCCTATCAGAAGGCTGCATTGCTGTGCCTCGGTGGACATGTGGCACATGCTTTCATGGGTCCTGAAAAGCTAGAAATTATTTCTCCCTTGCTCAATCCTAAATTTTGGAACCATCGAATGATGCAGACTCACCCAGCGTGGAAGACGGTGTGGACCGATGTGACCTATGTGTGCTGGGTCGTTCCAGATCTCTGCTCTGCTCTCCCTTCCCTCCTGGGTCACCTGTGCTCTGCCATCACACCTCCGCTTTATGATGCCTATCAGGACCAAGTAATTGCAGAGAGCCCAAGCAATTTCAGATGAACTTCTTTACTGCCTGTGACAGATCTGCGGAGTAGAGGGAAGGCCGCGTGCCGTGAAAAGAAACGTGGCTTGGTTTTCTGTAAAAGGAAGGGCATGCCTTCTCATCACGGCTGGATCTTCGCACTGCCCCAGGGTGGGAGGCGGACAGCATTTTCATCATTAGCTGTTGCAGCTAGTTACCTCTATGGTAAATTTTTACTAGCAGCCTTACTGCAGCAATTGCCATAGGCTTATGATCCAGTAAAAGGTTCCTCGTGGCTCAGAGCGTATGAATTACTACAAGTGCCTACCTGCTTGTCAGGCGGCAGCTTATTAATATCTGATACCTTTCTGGCTGCGGCTCCTTTCGACAGTGGGGTAACTTTGGGCTCTTGCCTTTTGTTCTCTGCTACGATTGATATGCTGTGTTAATTTGAAACAGGGGAATTATTGACTGCCTTGGAGCACTAATTATAGATAGGGGCTGTCCCAATCCTTTTCCACAAGGAGAATCATTTACAGATTAACTCGCTGTGCCTTTCTTTGAAAACACAAGTGTGAAATTTGTTTTTCAAAGTCCTGATTTAAAATGGTTATTAGTTTCAACTAACATGAGGGCCACAAGCTTTCCCAGGATGATTTGAGCCCAGCAACACTGCCAGCCTGTGTTTGCAAATCCAGTTCCCGAGGAGGAAGAGTGCTGTCCAAGCAACACAAAGAGCATCTTGGGCCTTCTCAAGCTGAAATCTGGTCTGGGGTTGCAGACAAATAAGCAGTTGCACTTTTGTGTTGCACACAATCGAGTCTTTGTCATGGACGTTGCATTCTGAAGCTCTTTGGCGTGGAGCTTGGGTGTCTTCTGCACAAGTGCTCAGTGTCTCAGAAACCCTGACACGTTGTGCTGGGGCTGTAAGCGGGTCCCTGGCCTGTAACTCAGAAAGAAATGCATTAGTAGCCCCTTTACGTTCCTTTTGCAAAGCTGAATCTGCCCACAGGCAGAGAGCCAGGAGCATGAAAGCTGCAGTGGCCAAGGCTCGAACAGTGAAGGTGTCATTTCAGACATGTCAGCTCTGACAGGTGTTTCTTGAAAGCTCTTGCAGACGCAACCCTCTTGATGTGCCATGATGCTGGCTGTCTGGAGGCCCTGCATACAGGAGATTTCAGCTACAAAAAAGATGGCATTTAGTTCGCTGGCTTGTGACATGGAGTAATACGCAGGCCGGTGCCTTGAGGAGCGAGCTGCCGGTGGAGAAAAGCATGCCCGGAGGCTTCCCCGGTCCAGTTGTTCCCCGGGGAGGAGTGACGGTGTTTCAGTTCAGAGCGGCTGTGATGGAGCAGGAGAATTGCTCCTACATTGTGTTCCCTGAGTTTGCAGGTGAACGTCCACTGGTGATCCCACTGAGACGGCCTCCGCATAGAGAAGGCACTGCGTTAGCCTGTGGTATCACTGCTTTGCTAGTAATCGAGGTGCCACATTAACGGTGCCATCTCTGGAGGGGGAAAAGCAAACTACCCTGCTCGAGTGGCTCTCTGCAAGTTCTGATTGTCAGCTCTAATTGACTCAGGAATAATCTCGTCTCTCCGGCTGCGTGCCGGTGCTCCCCACTCACCCCTGGCTGCGGGGTAATAGTATTCCTCTGTCTCTCTGGCTTGCAGAGGTAAACTAATACCTGTCCCTGACCTTGTCACGCTCCTGATCTGTTCAGAATAGTGCCTGGCACAAGAAGCGGCATAATTCCTTGTTGCAAGCTATTTTTATTTGCAAGTCAGAAAATAAGACAAAAGTATTTTACTGCTGAGCTTTTAAACAGAATGGCAGTGTGTTTATTTTGGCTGTTCCGGATTTGTTCTGGCACCCTGCTAACTCCAGCGACGAGGGAAAGCTCTCTACTCCTTATCTCGAACAAGGCGCTCCTTTTTCCAGTTCCAAATGTTAAGTAATAACGCTGCTTCTCTGGATATTTGTTACTGGCTCCATCCAACCACAAGCAGAGGTGGTCTGCGCTACGGCGGAGATCCTGCTGTAGAGCTGTTAGCCACGGTTCATAGAGCTTAATTTAAAAAAAAAAAAATCCTTGGGTTTTGAATCCATTTTGTAAGATCTCAGTATTGTGGTTGGAACATATATCACGGAGCCTGAGCTTTAATACCAACCCTGTTCAACCAGCAATATCTCCTGAAACAGGCAAACAAAGTAATCTGCGTGCGGAGCCGGTACCAGATAGAAACGAAGAGGAAGGACCGGGGTACACGCGGTGACGACACGGTCTCATGACTGCTGGCACCATGAGCCACCTGCTAGGATCTTGCCAGTTTGATGCAGACAGCGTATTTCAGAACAAGGGGATTTCTGTTGGGTTTGGTGGCTGGGGTTGCTTGCCGTGCCGTAGCAAGGCTGTATGATTTGGGTACATTTTTCAAAGTCAAGCAAAGCAGAAGTTTAGGGTCTAGCTTTTGCTGAGGTCTTGAAATCAGAGTTGTGTTAAGAAAATGTCCATTTTGGCTCTGCTTTTGCAGCAGTAAACTTGGGACGCTACGTTTCCAGAAGAGGAGAGGTCATTTACCCGGGGATGTTAAAAACCCGTGAGTCTTCTGCGTGCGGTGAGTCCCGCAGGCAGCTTCAGACTGGCGCTGAATGCTTCAGGCCAGACCCAGAGGGGGCTCCGGTGTCTGAACTCGCACTCGCGCTGACTTTCCCGAGCCCGTGCTTGGGGGGCAGAGCGGTCAGCTGTGGCCATCAGCTCCTTGCTTAGGTTTCCGGGGGGTGTTCATTAACAAAAGGGATATTGGTCTCATTCACCACCCAGAGGAGCTCTGAAATAAACCTCCCTCCAGTCGCCTTCTCTCCACTTCCCTGCCTCTTCAGTCGTTGTGGGCCGCAGACTAGGATGCCGGCTCTGAAGTAGTGAGGGGTGGAGAAAACAGAGGCCCGGCTGACGGAAGAGTGGGCTCTCTGGCTCCCTCAGAGCAGGCTGGCTGGGACTTGGCAGCCTGATTTTTGATGTTGCTGCATACATCATGAACGATTTCCGTGTGTTTGGCTGCAGGGCAGATCCCGTAGACAGTCAGGAACTACAGCAGGCTTTTCAGCTGCCAGAATGTTCTCCAGGCTTGTGCTGGGACCCAGCCCTGCACACCTCAAGGAAAAGCCCTCGGCTCGCAGCGTAGGATGAGGGATTGCAAGCTCCCTTTTGTTTCCCAGCGAGACTGCGCTTCCCCACTGCCCTGCGACGCTGTGTGCACACCTTCCCCCCAACCGCTGCTCCCAGGGGTGTGCTTTGTGCTCAGAAGCAGGGAACCCTAAAAGCCACCTGGGAGTTTTGCAAGAAAACTCCCCCAAAAACCCCAGCTTGGTCCTGGCACTTCCTGTTTCTCTCTCGCTCATCTCTCACCGTGATGCTCCATCCCCACAACAGAAAGTACTAATTCGATAACCCCGTGTGACAGTGAGTGAGCTGCTGAGCTACCCCGCAGCGCTGTGCTCCCGCAGCCCCTCTTGGTGCTCCTTGCTCAGTAGGTCACTGGACTCTGCAGGCAAAACGGCCAAGCTGTGCTCCCGCACCACAGGAGAGCGCATGCACTCCCTGCGCAGCCTGCCCTGACCCTGCTCTGTCTGTGGTTTGTCCTCAGTTCAGCGTTGCTCTCTCTTAATTAAGAGATGTAAACAGATTATTTCTGGGCGAATGGGCTGACAGTGGCACCAGGTGCTGCCCTGCAGGATGGCGGAGTGGGAGTGAAGCTGGAGGGGCATCTCAGGCTCCACTCTTCACTCTGCAGGCTCTGTATGCTCCCATGGCTGGCAGCTCAGCTCTGGGGAGAGCGACTCTCTGCTAGCCCCTTTGCTCTGCTCAGAAAGCACGGCACTGAGGAGTTTGGGGAGGGTAGCTCCAAGCATCACAGGTTTGCGGAGACACCCAGAGTGTACCTGATACCTTCCCAGCTACCCAACACGCTGCATGGGTACCCCTGTAAAGCAGCCAGCAGAAACCTCAAGTTCATACTCTCCCAGCAGCTGCATCAGCAGCATGATCTGAAAAGCCTGTTTGATCTGGTGCAATGGAAGGAAAACCTCTCAGGAGAGAATCTGGTTTTCTGTGGGTGACCCTGAAAGCTATAGGAACCTGGACTGGGGTACAGTTGCGGGGAGGGAGGGAGATGACAGCCTTTTTCATGTCCTGCAAACTGTAAGAACCTGGACTTGGGCACAGTTGGGGGGAGAGAGGGAGATGACAGCCTTTTTCATGTAAGCAGATGTCCCAGGAGAGCCTCATGTGAATCTTTTCCCTTTCCTTTCCAGGATAAAGATAAAGTTTCTCTAACCAAGACTCCAAAGTTGGACCGGAGTGATGGCGGCAAAGAGGTGAAAGAGAGAGCTACCAAACGGAAGTTGCCTTTCACTGTTGGAACAAATGGAGATCAAAAAGACTCAGATACAGGTAAGGGACTCTACACACCCAACCACTGACCCGTGGGCTCAGACCTGGGAGAGCAGCTGGTTGAGTTTCTCCTAAGAAACAAAGTTCTTAGGTGGCCGTGCGGTGGTGTTTGAAGCCACAGAGGTAGAGGCGGTTGAACACGGAGGGTAGCATTGCACAGCGTTATGTACGGAGTGCAGTGCATTATGGTTGGTGATGAGCTTGATTGAGTCGAACACAAATGGGCTTATCAAGAGACGTGTTCTTCGGCTGCGTGACGATCCTTCCTGTTCAGCTTTTAGCTAATCCAATTCATCAACTGAGACTTCAGCTGGTGAGGAAGAAGCACTGAGCCTCAGAGCCAGAACTTGCTAGATAGGAGGTTTCCTAAAAAACCTTAGAGAGAGAGAGAGAGAGAGAGTGTGTGTGTGTGTGTGTGTGTCTGGATAGTGAACCTGCTGCAGCGTAGCACTTGCTGGCTTTACTGCTTTTGATGCAGGGCCTTGCTGTGTGCAGATGGGAAAGCCAGTGTAGTTTTTGGTGCAGCAAAAGAGATCCAGTCCATGACTGCATCATCTCGTACAGCGCTGGGGAATCTGCCCTTGAAGTATTGCATAGTACTGGCTGTTTTGAGTATCAGAAACCCTGCAATCTGTGCGGGAGATCAAGGAAGCACAGCAAAAATGGAGAGCAAGAGCTAGTCCTGTGTGGTTTGGTTACAAAGATAAAGTGTCTGGGAGAGGCAAGTCTGCCAGCGATCGGCTGAAGACAGTCCCCGGCTCAGTGCCGAGTTAATAATAGGGTGAAACTAGTTAGGGAATGAATAGGAAAATGTTCTTGATGGAGAGCTCTGACCTGTGGGACCCCAGGGAAGTGATGAAGCCCCCACTGTTTGAGCTGCTTCCACCTTAGGTGTGTCCTGGCACGGATGCCCAGAGACGTTTTTATTGTCCGTGTCCATTCACCTGACACCTCGGTTGTAACCCAATGGCAGAACTGAGGGATTCCAGGCATGTCCATGGAGGATGTGGCTCCTTGTCTCTGCAGCAGGATTTGGGGCATTTATTGCTTTTCCTGAGTTAGGTGCCAAGGTCAGAGTTCGTTGTGACCGGTCACAGTCCATGGCACCTTTGGCGTGCACAGCTGTGGGCTGATCTTGTTTGGCTTGCAAGTTGGCAGGTCATTGTCCGAGCATGTTGGGCAGCAGTTGGTTTCACTGGCTGAGCCGTCAGGCTCTGCTTGCTCATTTGTGCTGAATGGCCAAGTCTTTCGTAGCTGAACCTCTGCATCCAGGGACAGTTTCAGGGTGTTAATCGTAGCCGGTACCGATTGCCAGATCTAGGTATGAATCGTCATTTATTTTTCCGTTCTTGGTGCACAGATGAGTAAGCCAGTAGATCACCGAGGTCGTAGTACATTGCAGCAAGGAAGGGCAGTCCATGCCTTGTTTGGGAGCAGGCGGTGTGACGATGCTCAAGTTGTGGTCCTGACTCATTTTCAGAGAAGGCCGTTTGGGGTCGGGGTAGGATTTGCCCGGGTGACTGTCAGATTATTCACTGTGCTCTAGGGCTCGGCCTCACTTGAGTGAGCCGGAGTCTCCGACCAACACCTGGAAGGTGCCCAGAGCCACCGCGGGAAGGAGGTTGAGAACACCGCTGCCACCTGGTAACACACACTTCCTCCCCCCACCCCGCCAGCACCAAATGTGGGCAGAGAGAAAGAGCGAGAAGTCCCTTGTAAGCGATTTCAAGATGATTAAAATGTCATGCTCGTTTGTAGCAGTCTCTTACCTTTAGTCGTCGGGGCTGTGCAGAGCTGGCGCTGACACGCAGACATCAAAGCGGTACCCTTGCAGCTGCATCCATCAGGGGCTGGAAGATGGTAATTTAGCTTTGCAAGGGTGCCTTTAAATGCCACCCAGTAATCTCGAAACGCGGGAAGGGTGTGGGTGAGTGTCTAACCACCCAGCCGAGTGAGGCAGGAAGCGAGTGGGTCTCACTCGGGAGGGGGCCGGGAGCTCAGGTGCGGGGCGTGCTGCGGGCAAGGCTGCTGCCTCTCGTGATGCTTGATTGCTCAGAGAATCGCCGGGCTCGTTTCCCTGCCATCCCCTCTCCTGTCACGGGCTAAAGCATGTCGTTGAGCTGTGGCTTGGTTTTGGCAGCTTGGCTTTCAGCTTGCCTCCATTTACTTGTATGCATGCGAAGTCACCCATTTAACATGTTTCCCAAACCAGTGCCTGGGGTTGTAGTGCACCCGTGGGTCTCGACCTCCGTAGACTCAAGGCCTCCCTCGTTAGATTCAAGGCCCTCCTTGGAAAATAGGTCCATAGATGTTAGGGGCTGGAAGGGACCTCAGAAAATCATTGGGTCCAGCCCCGCTGCACTTGGGCAGGAAAAAATGTCAGCTCTTAGCTTTCACTTGTTTCTGGACTACAGAAAAATAGTAGAGCAAGTCTTCTGCGGCCCCCAACCCAGGAGGACCACGACCGGGCAGAATGGCCTTGATGCAAGGGACTCCTGTCTGAAATCTCTGGGTTTCTCTTGAGAATCTGGTGTAGGTGTTTGCACACCCAACAGTGCTAATATTGCACAACCCTGGGGCCCCATAAAAGGATCTCATGGGGCCCAGTTGAGAATCGCTGCACTTACATGCTTAAGGTCATGGCTGGCAAGCTACTGAAAGAGAGACTGTTGTCTCCAAGCACGGGGCTTCCAGCACTGTCCTCCCTCTCCCTCTGGAGAAATGCTGCTCCGCTGAGTAGCGGGAGGAAAGAAAGCCCTTTCCCAGGTTTGATTGCAGCTCTTGCAAGGCCTGGGGTTGTTCCTCAGAGCTAATGAGGCTGGGGGCCCTGGGTTCATTTCCGTAAGGCAGCCCTGCTCCTTGGAGCGCCGTCCAGGGCACTTGGGACCATGCGGACGTCAGTGTGTTTCTTAACTGCTGTTTGACGTTTAGGCTGAAATCTGAGAGCTGGGAATTAGGACAAGCGGCGTTCCCTCCTGCTGGCACAGGGCAGCGTTCCCATGAACGGATCCAACAGGAACGCGTCCCTGGCTGCATCCTCCGCGCTCTGGGCTGTGCCGCCTGAGCTCGGTGCGCCTGGGGGAGACCTTGCAGGCTGGCTCCGGCGAGCACGTGTGAGCAAGCACGGCAGCTGCCACTTTTTATTCCCATCTCGCTTCCCACTTCTGAACTGAAGGGGAAGGCGAGCTGCCTGCGTGGGGTCCGTCAGCAGGATGCGAGGCGGGGGTGCGGGGTTGTCCCCGTGCTCGTGGTGTTGGCTTGGCCTTGCATGGCTGCACAGGCTGGGCAGGAGCGGCCAGAGCAGGTGTTTTGGTCCTTGTAGGGCTTGGTGAAGGCCTGTTCTGCTCCTTTCCCTGTCTGTTTTCTCTTGGTGGTGGCCCAAAGTTTCCAGCTCCATCTCGACTTGCCGACCACTTGCTCCCTGTCCATAGCCCTTTCAGCTGCTATCCCAGGCAGGGGGAGCGTGTGGGCTGGGCGGGCATCTGCGTTGGTCCCAAATCGCGGTACAGGGGGTGTTGCGGAGGCAGCCCGCCCTTCTCTGCATCCAAGCCTATAATGCTTGCGGAGGGCTGATGCCTTCAGGAAGGCAGCAAGCAGGCCGTTTCATTCCTCATCTGCCTTATTTCCCAGCTCGTGCCCCACCCTGACAGGATGTTCCTGTGTGCACTCCCAAGTGCCACACAGCGGGGCTTGTTCGCCGACTTGCACGTTCTTGGCATGGGTAGTGGAAGATCTTACTCGCGTGCACTGTCGTACAACAGACGGTGGTGGGACACTAGGACCAGCGTTAACTCGGCAAAGTTTATCTGCTCCGAAGTGACCCCCAGAGCCAGAGTCCTGGGGCCCTGGGTGGTTGTTATCCAGGTGCATGCTCTGTTTAGGGAAAAAGGAAAGTAATTAGCCCTGAGCCTGGGCAACAGGCAGGTGACAAACTACTTGTGGGTGCTGCCAGTCAGTCGGATGGCTGGCTGATGCTCCAGAGCAGGGTCTGCCCGGTGTTACCCCACTGAACTGAGAGCGGAGCCAGGGCTGGTGTCATTCACGGGTCAGCCCCCCGTGTGTGTGGTGAAGTTAGCTGCCCCCGTGCTGCATTTAGATGAAACGTACCCCAGAAGCCTGCATCTTGCCCCCGCTTCCCTGCTCTCCCCCAGCTTGGGTTCAAGCCTGCACGGCCCCAGCACTGCCTGCAACCTGTGTGCCATGCTGGGTGCCACGTTCGAGGCAGCGTGGTACAACCGTGCCAGGGCAAGAGAACGAAGCTGCCCCTTGCCCCGCTGCTGCAGAAGAGGCAGGCGCTTCCTTAGCACCGTCTTCATGTGTTGAGACGGAAGCATGCCATTTTCCAGGCATGTTTGCCAATGTACAGATGCTTGCAAGAGGGACACGGAGGCAGCCGGAAAGAGGGGTGGGGGCAGGAGTATAGCAGGACTGGCAGAAGGTGAAACCACCTCGGTGGGAAAGGGCAGGCAGCAATCGAGACTCACAGAAACAAAAATTCTTGGCTGGGTTCCTCCGGGCCATGTCTCCTGCGTGGTTTTACAGCAAGCTGCTCGCTGAGTCACGGAGCTGACTCAAAGGCACCAGACTCCCGGGGCGCCAATTCTGCGCTTTCCATCCCCCTGCCTGTGCCTGCTGTGCCAACAAGCGCAGGGCTTCGCTGGTGACTTGCTTTGGCCCCTCTCCGGCAGCGCTGCATACCAGGCGGCGTGCTGCTGCTCGAGGTCGAGCGCTGGAGCGTGCAGTCCAGGAGGCAAAACTCCTGCACCTGGGTCGTGTTGAAAACAGCTTGACTTCAGCTTGAAGGTTTTACTGTTGTGCTTAAGCGTGCGGCTTTGGCCGCTGGAAGGTGTCGCGGTGGTTTTCAGATCCTGGGTCGGCAGGGGGTACGTTTTAATAAAACCTCCAGAACGCTCTGGTTTCATTCCAGCCAGCAGGAGCAATCTGGGCCAGAACGCACCACCCATGCCGGGACCAGAATTGGCCATCTCGAGGCGTTTTGC